ACAGCGTGGATATTCATAATACCAGACTGCTGTTGCAAAGTGAACAAACTAATGTTGTTAACAGGCTGTCTTAACGATAGGAATGTCAGGTGGAACGCGTGGTGACAAACGGTAGCTTGGTTGTTAGTTTTACTTGTACAACAAACTTAGATAAAGCGATAAATACATGCCGAGTACAGCGATAACGTGTTGCAGTATGGTTGTCCATTACAATACTGGCCGGGTATCGGCTATCCTGTTTCAAGGTTTCTCTCAGTCGCTCCAAGAAAAATCCCAGGGTAAGATGCAAGACTGGTTCACGAACTGTGTATCCCATGTTCCTTGCTGTACGCAATTGACACTAATTTCTCATACGTCAATCTTCTGTACTTAATGCATCATCGTAAAATAACCGTATGACTTGCCTTAAGGTAAAGCGAGGAGATATAACGTTTCGAGTTTCCAAGGTCACAACAACGGTCCACAATGCGGTGTGAACAGGGAAGGAGAAGGTACACGCTGATCATTTCATTCGCTGATTTGTATAGTTTAGTGTGATTTACAAACTCTTTTATGTTGTGCGTCGTGTTTCCTCGCATTGCCTTACAAACCGAAGATTACATCCTATTCTAAAATAAAACATGCATTGGAAGGAGTTACACTTCCACGCGATTTGCTATCGGAACTTACTTTACAAGTCTTGGAAGGCTATGCTTCTTTGTTGTTGTCTTATAATGGCGTCTGCTTCAGTAAAGCGGATTTGGATTTACAGTTTCCACTTACTATTTACATTTTCTGTTAATTTGTGAGGGATGCTAGAAGATTTTAATCTACATTTTATGTTTATAGCACAAATATTCACAAGGTTTTGAACTATACTTACTCAAGTATCTTTCATCATGGTCGTGATAATATTTTTAGAATCTGATTGGCTGTCTTGTCGATGTTCAGGTATTCGGTTTGTCTCCATGGATTGATATTAATTCATACCACATACTCGTACGTTTTTCTTCTACCTTTCTTGGCAGACTCCATTCCACTCTGAGAGTAAAAACATTGACAAGCCACAAAGCTTTTGACAACGCCGCATGAATAGCGTGCCCCTCCTCGATATCTTTGACCCCAAGGGCTGTAAAATCGAAAACGTGATTAGGTCACAGAAGTACATGAAGAGATTACATGTCCTACCACTTTCTTTAATAATCATTAATTCTGTGTTTTATTACGGCGTATTTAAGGGTGTCATGTGAATTTGTTTAGAAGAGGTTCGTTCGGGCTTTAAATGGTTAAGTATGAACAGTGAATAAGGAATAAAATTTGATTCAGAAGTAGGTTGTAAAGTTATTGAAAAATTTTACTGTAAAAACACAAATAGGAGTAAATAACTAAGAAACAAGGCGTGTTTTGTACGTAGTTCAGCTTGGTTTTGCATTATGAACTTGAAAAGGGGCAATACAATTTTTTAACCAACTGGTAAGAGAATTTAATACGCAACGTATCAGTTGATGTATCAAGATTTTGAAAGCCAGGGTAATGCTTGTCAATAAATCAAGTGAATTTCTTATTCGTCCTTGTATTATTTAATAACCTATTTTATATCCCTACATAAAATGTCATTTGCCGGTTAGTAACGTTACTTCTGCACTCATTGCCCGATTTTAATGTAGAGACGATAAATGTTCTCAGAATTTCTCGGCTAGTGTTATCGAACTATCGCTTGGCTTAAGGGCTTTTCATTTACGATACAAGGGTTTGAGGATAATAAATTAACATAAGCAATTAATTCTTGAAAATGAATGGTAATATTTATCATTCCCACCTTTAATTAGATCTGTTATATTATGAAAATCTCAGAATCTGTGTAACAAAAATGTATACCCTTCATTTCCCTCTAAAAGACATGTAAACCTTTTTAAAGGAACCATTTATCTAATGCTTGTTGGGTCGATTAAGCGAGTCTGTTCGATTGAAGATAACGATTTTAATTTTTATAGTGATTAGGGAACCCACTTTTAATGTCAGAGTGTTTGACCGCCAGTATTGTCTTCGTTCTCAGAACGAGTTTTTATTCAGCCTAAATTGGCTCGATCGAGTCCTCAGTAACATGTAACTTATCTTTCGGAAGATATCGATAAGGTCGAATATGTTTTTTTACAGATGTTAAGATCGTTAATAAGACTGAAGTGCTATGTTTTATGTTTTCTTGTCACATGTCAAATTGTGAATGAAGAGCACGTGTTTGTGATATGTTTTACACTTTGTAACCTTGGATATTGTTATTTGCAGTCTTTTATTAGCTTTATACTTTACATCTCAGATACGCCGATTACAGAGTGGTACGTCGTTATACTGTTTCAGTATTTTAGGTATTTTCGTCATTAAAAGTTTCCATTGGTTTGTCAGTAATAGTTTTGTATTTGCATTGGCGGTCGGATGCAATATGTGCCCGCAGAAAGTTTTCGGACGATTGGGTAATTTTTGTGTAACTTATTAGGAAGACGGTGTCTTTTTTGGGGTTAAAACTGAAATTAATTTTTATTTACTAGACTACGTTTCTCCCAATATTTTTCTCGTTTTAGTTTTAACTTCTTCTTAAGTCCTTTACCACCATTAAGTCTAGAGGTTAGTGAGTTTGCGTAGTATTGTATTTGTATAGAGCCGAAATCTGTGAACTTGATTCTTCTGTAATTTCCGGTACGTTTAACAGTTGAATTAATTCTTTTCTGACTCTCTTACTGC